GGAGACGCTGAAGTTCCCACCCTAGGACTTTCAACTGGGATGACTGCTCCTCTGGTGCCCTGGTGGCACAGAGATTAAGCGCTGCCTGCTAACCACATGGTGGGCAGTGGAAGATGTGGCTGTCTGCTCCCGCAGAGATCTGCAGCTGTGGCAACCCTAGGGGGGCAGTCCTGTTTGTCCGACTCCCTGTGACCCTGTAGGGCAGGGGAGAGCGGCCCCTGTGGGTTTCTGAGGCTGTAACTCTTCACGGGGTAGAAAGCTTCATCTGTCTCCTGTCGTGTGGCTGGTGGTTTTGAACTGCTGGCTTTATAGTCAGGAGCCCAACCTGTCACCACTATGTCTCCAGGGTTCCTGTCCTATAGGGTCACTAGGATAGGCAGCAAGGGAATTTGAATGCAAATGACTAAGAGAAATGTGCTGACCAGGAAGGAGCCCATGCAGTTCTAAATCCACACGGCTTTGCTTTCCAGGCTAAACAGTAAGGTTGCTAGAGAATAAATACACGGTCCATTCCACAGGTCCACTCCTGTGGAAACCGGTTTGGTGAACATTCTTTTTGAAGAACTACCAGAAACCGCTCGCCCAAATTGCTAAGACTTCTGTTCTTCTGTTTGAGGGAGACCATGTTGAGGATTAAGGTACACTTGATCCAAGCCATGGTATTTTCAATGGCCTCATATACCAAAGTTGGGCAGTGGATAGGGAAGACTGGTACTGGTAAAAATAACAAAGAGTACAGAATTGCCAGTCTGTTTGTTAGGAATCCAGCCAGGATGCTCCTGAGCAGCCGGGATGAGGAGACTCCCTCTCCCGTCCCTTGGACATGTTCTCAGGAAAGACCAGTCCCTGGAGATGGACATCTGCTTGGTAAAGCAGAGGGGCGGCGACAGAGAGGAAGACCCTTGACAAGATGGACCGACGCAGTGGCTGTGTCACATAATGTTTGTTTGTGAAGGTGGCACCAGAGCAGGAGGTGTTCCATTTCGTTGTGTGTCGGGTCACTATGAGCGGGACTGGCGCACCTGACAACAACAAAATTCTCCTTTTGTAAGTAAAACATGGTATTTGTTTTTAAGCAAATAGAAAACTACTAACACTTTCCTAATGTCAACAATGTAGGAGAGAGGCTGTGACTCTGATCTCAAAATTAACCTCACATGGGGAAACTTGTCACCGAGGCAGAGGGACATCCTATGCCTAACACTGAAAGGCTGTAAGGCATGCAATACTTGGACTGATGCCCACATGAATAAAATTTACATCTATAAGCATCTCGTAAGCGGTTGCAAACAAGATTGCACATAATAAAACGTAGTGAACACAATCCACATTAGCATTCTTTGATTCGTTCAGCAAATATTTATTCCAAGCCTATCATAATTCAAGACATCAGGAACAAACCAGGAGTCAGGGGGAAAAAACAGAGTTGATGTCCTCGGGAGTCCCCAAATCAATGAACAATACAAATCCAAATTTTGTCAACCAGAAATGATCACTGATTATTTACACCACCAGATTCTTCTTTCTTTTTTTAATAATCATTTTATTGGGTGAATCTTCTTCCTAAATGAGTCAGTTACTGTTGATTCGTTTCTCTTACACCCCACATCTGAGTTCTCAGTAAATCCTGGAAGTGCCACTTTCAAAACAGCCAGGGTGCACCCCCCACCCCCACCCCACCGCGGAGGCGGGGTGAATAACCAGGGCTGCAGTGTGAGGGGCTTCAAGAAGTACCTAGAAAACTGCCTTTGTCCCTTTAATCTTTCCATCCTATTTTTCCATGACTTTGAAGCTCCCTCCTACTTTTGTGGCTGATAAAGCAATCCTACTAACACCCCAAACTTGCAAATACATTACCTTGCATAATAAAAGGGGTTTAACAAGTATAATGTAAGTTAATGGTCTTGAGAAAGGAAGGTACCTTATATACTTGAGTAAAGCCACCCCGACTATCAGCCAAGGCACCTAATTTTACCACAAAAACTGCATTTAAAATGTGCTGGAAAACTTAGCTTATATAAGAGTATATACGGTAATTCTTTCTCCAGGATTAAGGGAGTACAGTGCAATCACCCTGGTCTTTGAAAATGAAGGAAGGGACCTTGGACCAGGAATGCAGGAGGCTTTCTAGACACAGAGGGGGAAAAAATCAAAAGGATTCTCCTCTGGCGTCTCCAGAGGGAAGGTAGCCCTGACCTTGATTTTTAAAAACCAAACTCACTGCCAAAGAGTGGGTGCTCTACAGAACTCTAGAATCAACTGACATTGGTTAAGCCAGGAAATTCATGGTAAGTTACTACAACAGCAAGAGAAAACTAATATAACTTCCTGGCAGGTGGCCCAGCTTCACCCTTTCCCCCTACTTCTTAGCCTTCAAGCAGCAATCAGAGAGACCCTTTAAAAATGTACACCACACTATGCCACTCTTCCGCTCAAAACAAATCAAACCTACTGACTTCTTAGTGAGATCATCTGATGGCCACTTGATGTATGCCACAGCAGATTGGAACTCCATAGTTTTCATTTAATGGTTGTACTTTTTCTAAAGTAGCACCACTGGGTGGATTCAAACAGGTAACCTTTCACTTACCAAATGAGCACAGACCATTTGCAACATTCAAGGACTTCTCTTCTCTGACTCAGCCTATTGATGCAAATCAATTATGACTCACAGCAACCCTATAGAGCAGAGAACTGCCCTGTTGGATTGCCAAAGCTTACAGAGGAAACTGCAACTGAACCATCCTTTTTCCTATTGGTGGATTCAAACAGTCAACCTTTCTGTCAGCAGCCAAGAATGCTGCCACCCCGGGGCTCCTTCTCCCCTCTGGCATCATTGGCCTCCTTGCTGTTCCTCCAATCATCTTGGCAGGCTCCAACCTGGACACTTTCCCCTCTGCCTGTGCCAGGTACTTCCCACTCCCTCTGAAACTCACACCCTTGAAGCCTTTTCTCATATCTTATGGAAATTTTCCTGGAAGAGTTCATCTAAAATTGCTACCTCCACCCCAATACTCCATCCCTATCCCTCCTTAATTATTTTTTCTTCTCACCATTCACCTAGCATATACATTCCCAAATTTATTTGGCCTATTGCCTCCATTACAGAAAAAGGGGGGTGGGGATCACTCAGCATTCCTCTGGCAATTAAAAACTTTTGTACTACAGCCCATAATCCAGGATAAAGTGTAGGTATCTGCTGTAATCCACTCCAGTCATCCCATAGGAGCCCTGGTGGTGTAGTGATTATGCGCTGGGCTGCTACCCACAAGGTCAGCAGTTTGAAAGGACCAGCCACTCAAAGGGAAAAAGGTGAGGCTTTCTGCTCCTGGAAAGAGTTAGTCTTGGAAACTCACAGGGATAGCTCTACCCTGCCTTGTAGGGTCACTGAGTTGGAATTGACTCAATGGCAGTAAGTTTGGTCTTCTTTTTGAAAACCAGTGTTCCCCAAGGGGTGGTATCGCCCACTTCAGGAAACACTGATCTAGCATAATACATACCTTATGATACTCAATGCCTGTTTTGGAGCAGCTAGAGTTAGTCTGCTTTGTTTCCTATTACATCCTTCCTAGGTAGGACAATACCTGGCACAATACATTGCTGTGGTAGATGCTGTCAAGAGCTGGTTCTGCATCACAGGGACCCTGTGTACAACAGACTAAAATGCTGCTCAGACCTGTGCCATCCTACAATCACAGCTATATTTGAGCCATTGTTGCAGCCACTGTCTCAATCCAAACACTGCAGGTCCTTCTCTTTCCTCTGAGCTTCTACTTGACCAAGCATGATGTCTCTTTCCAGGGACTATTCACTCCTGATAACAGAATCCAGTGTAACTGAGATGAAGTCTTTCCTTGAGACTGGAAATCTTTTGCTTTTTTAAAACAGTTTTATTAGCACTGAATCTACATATCACACAATTCAATAGTTCAATCATATCAAGAAGAGTTGTACAATCATTACCACAATCAATTTTAGAACTTTCTCCTTTTTTCCCCCCATGGTTAAATCACTTATTTAAAATGAGTTATGTAATCACCATCAGTTCTAGTGCAAGATGAAATCCTTATGGGAGCGGACAGCCTTATCTTTCTCCGGAGGTTGGCTTGGTGAGTTTGAACTGACAACCTTGTGAATGGCAGCCCAATGCCTAACCCACAGCACCACCAGGGCTCCTTAGACACACATTAAACCAAAAATCAAATTCGCTGCCATCTAGTCATTGTTGACTCCTAGTGACTCCGCTGTGGGTTTCCAGGACTGTAATTATTTATGGAAATAGAAAGCCTCTTCTTCCCCCCACCGAGATGCTCAGTAGTTTTGAACCGCCGACTATGACGATCACAGCCCAACGCATAACCACTTCACCAGGGCTTCCTCCAAGACACATTAGGACTTGATACTTGTTGAATAACCAGTAAATCAAAGGAGGAGTTTTACCATGGAAAAGCTATGTTTTGTTTTTGTTTTAAGAGAAAGGATACAAAAATAGTTTGCCCGGAAGTTGATTCTGAAGTATAGTCACTGTCCCATTGGATCTCCTAGGCTGTAATCTTTACCAGAGGAGATGAGCAGGTTTTTTTCTCCTCCAGACTGGCCAGCGGATACAAACCGCCAATCCTCTGGCTAAGGTAAGCAGCTAAAACGCTTAACCGTTGTGCCATCAGGGCTCCTTAGAAAAGCATTAAGAGTTGGGAAAAATAGCCCAAATCGCTACTAATTTAAAACCCGAGTAATTCTCTCAAACCATGACCACGCTGCAAAACCTAGAATTTAGAAAGGAATTAAAATCACAAGACGGCATCAAAAATGGCAATATTCTGGAGATATACCCCAAACTAGGCAGCGGTTTTTCCATAAGGAACTTAACGGCGTTGGACAGCATTTTCTAGATATTTCCTTCCAACACACTCGTACCTGCCAAAAAGTCTTGGCAAATAAATATTTTGCTTGTCTTTTTAAAAACAAAACAAACAAGAAACAACTGTGATCGGACATACCAATTCTGGGATCAAATCCGCAGGATGGAAAAGCACAGAAATGGAAAGGCGCCGAGAGATCCTCCCCTGCCCGAGGGCCCCTTTTAAGGCAACCCCACTAAAAAATCCAGAACTGCGGGGGCTTCAGCCCGAATGGCACGAACACAGCCCCCACCCACGCAGCCCGGATCCACCAAGGCCCTGTTTTGGGGCTGGGGAGACGTCTGGGGGTGGGGGAGGGTGCCTTTCAGCTGAGTCGGGCCCAGGTGTCGAAGCTCGTCCCAGGAGGGGAGTCAGTGCTGCAAACGGGCGCTGCTTCAGCCGTGCGTCCGGTCCCCGCACACCTCCGAGCACCCCAAGATACCGACGCCCCGGCTGAAAGGATGCCCCCAAGGCGGTCGACAGCCTTGAGAGCCCGGCCCCCAACTTGCCTCCTCTGGGCAGAGGGACTGTCGGAGACCCGAGGTAACGGCACCGATCTCTTTCCCTTTGGGATGCTACAGCATCTGGGGCTCGAATCCTGCAGAGTAGGGGGCGGGACGATAGGCTCAACTGTGCCCAATCCCGACAGAGCTCCGCCCACCAGACTCGAGGTCTGAACTACATATCCCATGAAGCTCTGGGGCGTCGCAGCGCTCCTCCGGAAAAAGGGTCGCTGCGTTTGGGGAGGAGCCCACAAGGGATTGTGGGAGAAAGGCTTCTTCCTTTCCATCGGGCGGCGGCCATCAGGTAGGCTGTGTGCGGGACATTCGCTGCTGTATCCATGGCTCATCCCCTTTTGCCTCAGCCATCCGAGCTCGAGGACCTTGCCTTCTTAGAGCTCTTCTTTCTCGCTACGCTGCCCGAGTTCGCTCAGGGTGCAGGGCGGCGCGGACAGGGAAAGGCGAGCCCCAGAGCGGGCTGAGGGGAAATGTGATGGCGGCGCGGATCCGACCGGGGCCCGGAGCATGAAGGAAAGGGAGCGTGGGGTGGGGCGTAGCAGGCTAGACCCAGAGCGCCTTGGGAGCGAGTCCGGCGGGTTGCGGGGCGGTAAATGGGTTTCTCTGGGAAGGTAACCGTCAGCGGCGACGCGGGACGTTAGGTTACATGGTGTCCGCGAGGTCTGCTTCCATGCCGGGCCCCGGGGACGCGGACGTGTCCCAAGCTCCATTCATCCTTGAGACACACGTACCCCGCGCCCCTCCCAGCGCCCTGTCGCTGCCCGGAGCGGGAGTGAAGGAGGCGACTGGGCGAACGCGGTTCATGGGGCTGCCGTGTGCGCCCTGCGGGTAGCGACGAGCCGCCTCCCACGCCAGTGGGTGGTGGGGAGCCAAGATGGACGGGCAGGGTCTTTGTATGCGCTAACCAGGTGATTTGCCCTCCTTGTCACAAAGGTGAGCCGAGATGGGTGCCTACAAGTACATCCAGGAGCTGTGGAGGAAGAAGCAGTCGGACGTGATGCGCTTTCTCCTGCGGGTCCGCTGCTGGCAGTACCGCCAGCTCTCGGCGCTGCACCGGGCGCCGCGTCCCACCCGGCCCGACAAGGCGCGCAGACTGGGCTACAAGGCCAAGCAAGGTGCGCGCCCCTCTGCCCAGGTCATACGGCGCGCGGGCGAGCAGCCATCACCGTGAGGCTGGGGCTTCGTTACCTAACACGCCGTGGAACGCACTAGATGTAGTGGGAAAGCGCGGCACGGGGTGACAGTAAAGACGCACCCACTGTGGGATGTGGCACATGTATCAAGATGACAGATGTGCGTCTGCCCTAAGCTAGTACCGGGGAACGAGAAATTCCCCCTTTGGTGTGATTGTGGTACACCTGGCATGATGGAGAGCCCTTAGGATGTATTATTTTGATCATTTTATTGGGGGCTGTACAACTCTCACAATCCATCCATCCATCCATTGTGTCAAGCACATTTGTACGTTGGTTGCCACCATCAATCTCAAAACATTTGCTTTCTAGAATGTATTTTCTTAAAATGAGTCTCCTAACCTAGTCTTGTTCCCCACGGCTGCATAGTATTGTGGTCTGGAGTCACACGTCTAAAATTGCAATATTGCTGCATGATGTCTTCTCCCTGACTCTTCATAAAGCCAGTATCATCTTTTTGTATAGGTTATGTCATCTATCGGATTCGAGTCCGTCGTGGTGGCCGCAAACGCCCAGTGCCCAAAGGTGCAACCTATGGCAAGCCTGTCCATCATGGTGTTAACCAGCTGAAGTTTGCTCGAAGCCTTCAATCGGTCGCTGAGGTGGGTGGCTTTCCTTTTGAGTATGGGCAGCCCCCAGATTACACACAGATCCTATTCAGTCTTTCTTGAAGAAAATGAACGGTTGGGTGTGACTTCTAAACATTAATGATATACTAAAAGCTAGCCCCTTTTTTTTTTTCTTCAGAGCTCAGTGAGGTTTAATGGGGGCGGGCCTTCGGAGGAAGACTTTAAAAGCTAGTCTTTAGCATAGGACAGTAATGTGTCTGATATGTGTAGGGTCTGTCATGAATTGTTGAGGATACCTACTGGTTTTTAGTGTGGTAGGCAATACAATGGTTGCTTTGTACGTGTTTGTAAGCCAAGGACTGACTGGTCACCCGAAAGTGGTGATCAGGAAGAATCTGAACAACTTTGTTTACTTGTACCTCAGTGAGTTTTATTGTATATAAAATAATTTGTGGGGACATACTACTCTTAATCTTAGTAAAAGAAAACATTGCTTGTTGAAGTGTATAGAAAGGCTTCTCAGTTGTTCTTGTTTCTGATCTGTCTGCGCTTGCTATATTCAAGGAGGCTTTACGAATGAAGCCACCTCATGTAGGTATTGTAAAGGAGCCCTGGTGGCAGAGCGATTATGCGTTGCACAAGGCCAGCAGTTCAAAACTACCAGCTGCTTGTTGGAAGAAAGACAGGCTTTCTACTCTGTCCTATAGAGTTGCTGAGTCAGAATTGACCGTTTATTTTGTTGTTTTTAATGTGTGAAACTATGGAACCTAAGCTTTGAGAGGTCGAGACTGTCTTAGCAGATCTCTGAATGGATGCTGAAGCTGTTTGGGTTACTGATCCCTTTGTATAGAAAGACTAGTTGTGGGTGTTCTGGTTTAACAAATTATGCTCTGTTATAGCAGACTAGAATTGCTGAAGAAGAGTTTCTTACTTAATGAATTGCCTTTTAAATTTAAGGCAAACACAATGTATAAATGAGACTGCGTATAGCCTCCAGGGCTTAAAAGGTTTGCTGCTGGTGTCTCAAAAGAAAATGAAGATGGCCCTCAAATCCTGTTTGTTTGTTTGTTTGTTTTTAGCCAGGTGTTTTAAATATTGTCTAAGGCTCTTCATGTGTGTTAACCACAAAGCCTAGCCTGCCCTGTCTTGCAGTGCCAGCCTTCTGGTGAATGAGTGTTAGGAATTAGAATTCTGGCTTCCTAATTTGCTACTGTGGGAAATGTGAGAGGCTGACGGGGGGCACTTTCTCTTGTTCTAGGAGCGAGCTGGACGCCACTGTGGAGCCCTGAGGGTTCTGAACTCTTACTGGGTTGGTGAAGATTCCACATATAAATTTTTTGAGGTTATCCTCATTGATCCATTCCATAAAGCCATCAGAAGAAATCCTGACACTCAGTGGATCACTAAGCCAGTCCACAAGCACAGAGAGATGCGTGGGCTGACGTCTGCAGGCCGCAAGAGCCGGGGCCTAGGAAAGGGCCACAAGTTCCACCACACGATCGGTGGTTCCCGCCGCGCTGCTTGGAGAAGGCGCAACACCCTGCAGCTCCACCGCTATCGCTGATCTGTGTCATGTTTGTAAAGCTCGTGTCTAATAAACCATTCAGGACAGTCACGTCTGCTTAAAAGTGTTCTTTAATTTGTTAAAAAGGTAGCTGTTTCATGAATGCATTGTCAGGTTACGAAAGTAAAAGTGCAATAATGTCTAAAGACAATTCGTGGTAGTGTATTTTATTAGGGAGTTGTGAGTGTTTAAATTGACAGTCTGTGGTATAATAGGTGTAAAATAAATCCTTTTAAAGGAACATTGCAATCCGCTCCTTCTGTAGAATTTGGTGCGTGTGCTGAAACAGCTTTTTATTGGGGTGATAAAATGATCTGGTTTAACTCCCAGGTTACTAGAGCTTGGGGGGTTCTTTACTCTTGCTTTCCTACAGCCTTCCCCAAAGTCCTCAACCAATCCCAGAATCTCCCTGCACCCACTGTGACTTCGTGTTGTCCTCAACCTTCTCCCAGCCTCCTGGCCTTTCCTTATCATTCTCATGGCTAAATGGCATCGTAGCCTTTCCCTGACCACCCCACGAGCCATTCTTGAGCCATTCTCAGTTGTATCAATATTTTCACATAGGTATGCAAACTCATCATGACATTATTAAAATGTTCTTTTGGGAATACAAAAATTGGTTCTTCACAACAACACAAGGTGTGTTTTGTTAGGTGTTGTCAAGTTGATTTTTGACCTGCCAGGTGACAGAATGGGACGGCCTAGGGTCTTGGCTGGAATTATAGAAGCAGATTGTTAGACCTGTGTAAATAATAACACCCTTTTGCCAGTAAGGAAACAGCATATGAAGCAATTTACTCCAGGTCACACAGTACGCGGTAATCTGAATGGGAACCATTCCTGTAAATGTGATTAAAATTTTGATTGCATCCTATATTAACACAGTTCAAAGTTCAAATGGTACAATAGGATCTACAGTAAAAAGTCTCCCAGGTTCCCTAGTCCAGCCCCCCTGGAGGCTATATGGTCAGTTTCTTGGATTTTTGTCAGGAGACATTTTTCTGAATTTATAAACATCTATATTTTTTCCTTTTATTTTTTACTCAGATGGTATATACAAGTCATTACTATTCCACTTAATTCTGTATCTTAGCACTGTTCCATATCAGTTCATGAAGTTTCCACTTAGTACGTGGAATTCCATTGATTGGTTGTACCTTAATTTGTTTTTCCAATCAGTTCTGAAGAACAATAATTTGCATGTGTCTTAAATGATCTGTAAGGAGTCCTGGTGGCAAAATGGTTAAGCACTGGCTGCTAACTGATTCTCAGCAGTTGGAACCACCTTCTAGAGCCTCCGAGGGCCGGGGCCCTGCCGAGGAAACCCTCCTGGCCAGTTCGTTCAACTCTGTCCTAGCAGGCTCATTCTGGGGAGAAATGTCAAGATAGCTTGTCTGCAGGACAAATTTCTATAGAATGGGAAGGTTAAAATGATACGCATTCTTATTAGAGGGATTTAAGTGTTGAATACAAAACTGATGATCTGAAATGTCTGTCTTATAAAAAGGCCACACTCCCAAAAAGGCATCATCAAGTCTGATGTACCTCCACGCCTCTGCTTTCACACAGGTGCAAGTTTACATAAAATCTAACCGTCATAACAATCAAAAGGGGCATGCAGGCAACAGTTGGGTAACCAATTTGCCAACACATGCAACATTTCAGACAGCCTGCAGGAAAGGAGAGTGCAGAACTTCCTGTGTGATAAGCACTTCCAGGTTGTGGATGTTGTTGAACACCTGCTGGATGCTCAGTCTGAAAGAGGAGGGAGAGTGAGCTCTTCAGCATGGTGACTGCTGGCTTCCACTTTGTCTCCAGTCTTGAGCAGCTGCACGTCTGATTTCAGTGGTGCCTAGTACAATTGATGTGTGGGTTGTTAAAAGAGTTGTAAGAGCCCCCAATAAAATGACTTATTAAAATTTTTAAAAATCTGCACTGCCCTTGTGAATGACTGATACTGGTATTTTTCACCTATCACCAACCCCACGGTCAAGGTAAATAATGCTCAATCATTTAAGAGTTTAAATCGTATAAATCAAGAGCTCATAGAATTCAGTTCAGAGCCAGTCTATACTTGCATAACTTCCTTTTCTCAACAGTACGTTAAATTTGATGCCATTGGATTAATTAATGACACTATCAATAGAATTGCCGGATACTCCAGGATGATGGTTGATAATACGGTTTTTCATAAAATGATACTGAAGCCTCTAAAGTAAGCCAGAGATATACATAGAGTATGGACAAGTAAGTGGATTTTGGGCTCACACTTTTTGGGGGGTGGATTTGGCTCACACTTAATTGTAGCCCCAATCCAAGAACAATTAGTTCTTTTTTTTAACATTTTATTAGGGGCTCATACAACTGTTATCCCAATCCATACACACATCAATTGTGTAAAGCGCATTTGTACATCATTCTCAAAACATTTTCTCTCCACTTAAACCCCCGACATGAGGTCCTCATTTTTCCGCTCCCCCCTCCCTCATGAACCCCTGATAGTTTATAAATTGGTATTTTGTCATATCTTGCCCTGTCCGACGTCTCCCTTCACCCACTTTTCGGTTGTCTGTCTCCCAGAGAGGAGGTCACATATAGTTCCTTGTAATTGGTTCCCTGAACAATTAGTTCTTATGACTTGGTCATGCACAGTGCTCCCATCACGAAGAGATCGCTGAAGATATGAGCGCTACAGCAAAGTGTGGTGAAGAAAACAATGGTGTCCAGCTTCTCACCACGCACGCCAGCCTGTAGGATCATGAGGTGTTGACAGGATCAGGAAACAAGTTATCAGAAGACCCCAAACAAAAGCATATTGTTGAGAACGAGGGGGTCAGAGCAGAGACCCCAAACCCATCTGTAGACATGGGACATCCCCTCACAGAAGGGTCACGGGGAAGGAATGAGTCAACCAGGGTGCAGTATAGCACCATTGAAATGCACAATATTCCTCTGGTTCCTTGAGGTTTCCTCACCACCCACTACCATGACCCCAGTCCTGCCTTCCATTTTGAACTAGACCGGGTCCTGTACACACGTACAAATAAGAGCTCACGACACACGGAATCCAGGTCAGATAAATCCCTCAGGAACAGAAACGGGAGTAGGGTTACCAGAAGGGTAGGGATGGGGTGTGGGGAGAGAGGAGGAGAGGAAGGGGGAACCAATCACAATGATGGACATATAACCCACCCACTTGCACCCCTTCCCACTCCCCACACATAGGAGGGGGGCAAACAACAGAAACCACAGGGGAAGGGAGACCGGTCAATGTAAGATATGAAAATAATAATTTATAATTTATCAAAGGGTCAAGAGGGCGGGGGTGGGGAGGGAGGGTAAAGAGGGACTGATACCAAGGGCTCAAATAGAAAGCAAATGTTTAGAAAATAATGATAGCAACATATGTACAAATATGCTTAATACAATTGATGGGATTCCCTGTATTTTCAGTTCCTATCGTAAGAGCCCCCAATAAAATGATCTTAAAAAAAAAAAAAAGAATAGCTTCTGGGGTCAAGCAGCTACCAAAGTGAGGGGTCAACTAAATCCACATGGAAGAAGCATATTAGCCTGTGATTCAAGGATGAGAAATAATAAAATCCAAATCCAAAGGAGGAAATGAGATCAGAGCCTAATTTGTAAACATCCAATTATCCAATTTGCAGAAGGTAAGAGATGACTGGGAGCAAAATCCGTTTGCAGGGTCCCTACGTAGATTACGCCTCTCCTAGGTGCCCTCTGAGCACAGTCGGGGGATGTGAATAACCTTGTTATCAGACAGACACTACTAAACTTGATATGGCTGATGTAATTAGGTTAGAATGTGGTCCCTGGTCATCTGACCTCCCTTTTGAGCCATTTTGGATTTGTTCTAGTTTTCAATATTTCCTGCTTTTTTTTTCTCAACAGAGATCTTTTTTCTCCATTTTATTTTGATATTGATCTTGGTGTTTTCTTTTCCTTTTTAAAAATAATATATTTGCTTTTTTTTTTGGCATGTTTTCCAGTATAGGAAGCACAGGATGGGCAGATGTATAGAAACCCTAACTGGTGTAATGGCTTATCCAGGAGATGGATGGGGCCAAGGCGGAGTTTGGAAGGAAATGGAGACAAATAATACAGGAAAGGGGAGGATGTTCTAGACCTATTTAATATGACTGAACTATGGAAGTGTATGATATGTGAATTATATCAATAAAACTATTGGGGGGGAAATCTGCAAAAGTGGTATAGTTGGCCTGTGGCTTTAAGTCTCATAACCAAAATATTCAAACTTTTTTTTTTTCAAACTTAATGAAGTAGTTAGAACTGCAACATCTCAGGTCACTCTCAAATGCTGGCAAAAGGCAACTCATCCGTCAATGTCGATTAAGTAATCTAATTTAATTGGTATGCTATGAGCATCCAACTTGTTGCTTGCAATTCTCATTGTCATTTAGAGAGAGGTTCAATATTTAGAAATCCTAGTTGGTTTAGAAACATTGATTGTTGTAGAAGGTCATAATCAATTGTATAATCACTGAAATCATTTGGAGAATGTTAACATCGTATTTAGGTTATAGGTGTTGATTATTAATTAATCCAAGAAGTTTCTGATAAAAAGAACTCAAAACAACGTCCACTGACATTAAAGAATTCTGGCCACTGATCTCCAGCTGGATTCTGCAGGTAGGATTTTGATTAAAATTCTAAAAAAAAATTTTTTTCATGTTCTACTTCTCTCTCCTATTTAGTAGACTTGTTGAATCTCATTTTGTTTGTCTATCATCTAATTGGTATAATTATACTTTTTCTGTAGAATTTCTTCTCTATGCCTCACTCTACTCTTCTTTTCTCCTCTGGTAGTCAGTTGGAAGAGAATTGGAGGCCTAGAGAAGTAATATCAACACCAAAACATGAGGTTAATATCAAGAAGTGCCAAGCCCAAGATGAGACCATTGAGGTGAGAGCTGTAACCATTGAAAAAATTGCCCAGTGTAACCGCTGAGTTCAGTGTCTAAGGCCATGATCTAATTGTTTTTATGTGACTTTGTAAAATAGTTCTGAAG